TGTACCAGGAGCCGGGTATTCTCTTGACTCAAGTGGTCTTACCTCCGTCCCGTCATCAGCTCCTGGGACCATAGACTTCTCTTCAACAGGAGGTTTGACCGCATATTTGCGGGTTTTCTTCAGAAGGTTTTTAAGACCCTTTGGAGTCTTTGTCTTCGCAGGTGGAACCTCAAGTCTTTCTTCTTCTGGAGGTTCGTGCGGTGCAGATGATTCTGCAGGTTTGTCTCTAGAGCCTGATGATGGTTCCGATGGTTCGGAAGGCTCAGGAGCATCACCAGATGGTTCTGGTGGATCAGGTTTCTTGGCAGATGATTCTGCCGGATCAGATGGAAGAGGCTTCTTCTTACCTGAAATCCCTTCGGTGGTGGATCAGCTGCTCCCTCAGGTGCCTTGTCGCAACCTTTGAGGTACGTATGAGCCCTTTTCTGTCCTGCGCAGGCTGGACAGCGACCTTCCGGGATCCTAGTATAAGGTCTTCCTTCTTCCTTTGGCTTCCTAGCTCCTAAGGCAGTCTCTGTCGCACTGAACGACGTACCTGACTTAGGGAGATACTTCCTGGTGGAAGTGAAGCCTAGAAGGTCCAATACCAAATGGTTATTGGTACTAATCGGAAGAGGGGTTTTATACAAACCGAAAGCTTCACACGTTGCTAGGTCAGCTGTGGGACTACACTCGAGGGTCATTCTTAGATTCCTCATCTGTTCGATGGAGAACAAAATGGGAACTCTCCCCTGATCCAGAACTTCTATGGTTGTATCTCTTCTTGGAGTTGTGTTGAACCATAGAGTTACACGCTCCTTGATAAGAGCTGTTTCACTATCTGCGAAAGAGAACTTCGTGTTCGAAGGTGAGAAAGTGAAATCAATCATGCCTGGGGCACGTTGCTTCACGGCCTTGATAAGCCTGTTCACCGCATAGCGGGAACCCATAGCCCTAGTACAACCTGAGTCAAGTATGACAAAGGTAGGGTTCTTATCAAGATTGATCCGCTCTGTGAGAGCAGATAGGACGGTGTGCTGCAACGGAAACACCGCTGTTGCAGTTTCAACACCTTGCCCCTCGGATGGTTCAAAGACCTGGGGCACGTAACTCACTGATGAGTTGAACACGGGTTCTTGGTGCGCGCTCGGATCTGTGCCTCTACCTGATGATCCTGCTTGATTTCTTCTCTTCTTTCTCCGTGTTTTTCTTCGTGAGGCTTGTGATGCATAGTATGTATAAGACGTTTGATCGTCATAAGCGGCATAATTCCAACTGGAGTCAGTATAATAACTGTCCTCATACCATGAATCCCAGCTCGGTGCGGTGGAACTTTCATAGGCCTGTGGAGATCCAGTTTGGTCTCCTTGTAAGGAGGCAGACTTAGCTGTATCCTTACCTTTGCCTTTTGATTTTGTACCCTTGAAGGAGCTTCCTTTATCTCCTTTGTCCTTTCCTTTTCCTTTGCCTTTTCCACCTTTTCCTTTTTCCTTTCCTTTACCTTTACCGAAATAGCTGGAATCAGTTGGATCATGTTCTGCCTGGTTGGCTCTCCCTTTTCCGCGGTATGACCTAAAACGGCCACGTCCTTTTCGCTTGCCACCCTTTGCTCTTCCCGGTGATCCGGGACGCATTCTTGGTCTTCTTCCCTTTTTGAATCTCCTTGCAACGAAGGCCTCATGGTCATCAACTGTCCAGAAGACAGCTTCTTCATCCTCGGCGGCAAGAAAGCCTTCCTCAAGGGTGTCTTCGTCTTGGAGCCAGAATCCATCGACTCCATCGTATTCACCCTGATCGAGGATGAGGAAGTTTCGACCTCCGCGTTTGCGGCGTTGGTCTCTCCTTCCATGGCGGTCCTTCTTGTGAGAAGAGTGCCGAATGTTGGGATCCTGCAGACCAGTTCTGGTCGTTGAGAACTGATCGAACATGGTCTGCCGTACCACAGGGTACGTGTAGGTCTCAATTCGGTGACCTTGGTTGGTCAATGCTGTTACCAACCTCTCACGTTGCATCTCATTTAGGTCGGACTGCACTAGGAAGAGGAGAGCTAGGAGATTATCATTTAGAGGAAACGCTCTTCGATGATTATCAAGGCGTTCCTTGTTCCATGTTTCGAAGAAACGTGCGGCGTATGTGTCTCTCTCGGTTGCATCCTGTAGGCGCAAGAAGGTTTGATCTGCCTGCACAGCCTGCATGAAATCTGGATGGGCATCTTCCAGAGCTATCTCTGGTAAGAGATCCATCCATGAGTTTTTCACGCGCTGTAGCACGATCTCAAACTTGGCAATCCAAGTCACAAAGTCTTGGTTGCCCTTCCATGCCTTGAATAGGCCGAGGAAACGCCACAGGAAAACGTACTGTTCTCCTTTCACGAAAAATGGACGCATCTTCTTCTTGAAGTAATCTACTCCATCTGGGGCTGCAAGCCTTTCTCGGTTCAGTGATTCCTTTTGTACTGCGGCCAATCCGGAGAGCCTCGTCTTGAGAGACGGACCTCTTTTGGTGTCATCCAGCGTTGTTATGTCGCACCAGTCGTCAATCAACTGTTCATACTCAAACCACGAGGTGGTGCCATCATAGGCAGGCGCGATCTTGGGCGTTATGCCTAATGATGCAAGCATGCGGTCAGATGTTGCATATGACTGTGCGACATAAGTGGCTGGACCTTGGGAGGTCTCTTCGTTCTCATATCCCCCGGAGGATTGGGAACTGTCGTCGGCTTCGCTGTGCGAGCTCGACATTGTGCTGCCTCTTATCCGCTTGGTTAAGCGTTCGGCGAGGCCGACCGCTGTAGCGGACTTTGGGAGGCGGGCGGCCCTTTCCGGGCTCCGCTACCAGAAAACTGAGCCGATACACCCACAAGGAAATGCTCCTTGTTAGGAGGTGTATGACCAGTTTATTCCCTAAGGATCAAAGGGCAGCGCCCTGCACACGGACAGTAGTTGTTTTGTCTTGCTACGCAAGGAGAGCTTGTCTTGTCTCAATATGGTAAAACCACTGTGAGCCAATGGGCAGCGGAATGTATATGTATGAGCATGCAGCCATTGCTGTAGGTACCTGTTAGAGCTACCCCTTTAGAGGTTTATGGTTTCACCCCCCCCCCCTATCATGAGGTCCCCCCCTCCCCCCCCCTCCTCAAGGTCCCTTGGTTTTGTTTGTGTCTGACGTTCGGCGACTGAAGTGCGGTCTTCTCTCCAGAGTTACCTCTAGTTGTCGTTCGCACATTACTTTCTCAAGAGTTAAATGAACGAGCAACGCCTGCACCCTTCACCGGCCCAAACTTTCCCTCCGCTACTGTCGTGCACATCGCTTTGCAGAGCTCAGCACCGGACCTCGTGCTTCTAGCTTTCGTGACCAGCTCTCAAGTGTGGTCACAGGGGGATTTCAGCTCAAGTATCGAGCTTGCCTGCTGACCTGAATTTGCTGCATACAGAACCGCATGTAATGCGTCGATCTTGAAGTGCTGGAGATCGCTGTGCAAAGGAGCCGAAGGTCAGCTCCACCAAGCCGGGGCTCTCAGCTACGGAGCTTCCTTTGCGCCGGGGAAGGGTGTTTAGCAGATTGCCTCCGCTGGCGCACATGCACCAAGCACCGAGCCACAATCCCAACAGTGTTTTTTCTCAGGGTCGCGGACTACCGGAACTACGCAGAACGAGAGTCTCGCTGGCCTGCATTGCCGTTTCTCTTGGCCAGGGCTAGAAGTCTCAATCGGTGGAGGGAGCCTAAGTGGAGTTGAGAGCTGGAGAGACAGCCAAGGCTAGTCCATCGAAGTGAAAGAAAAAGAGGCAAACCAAGAGGCGAAGAGATACACACACGCACACAGAGACATGTCTCTCTTTCCATCTCTCGGTCTGTCTGTCTGTCTGTTTATGTACTTACATGCATACACAAGAACAGGTCTGTTGCCCCAAAGGACCATGTTCCGTGATGCGATCTCTGCCGGCTTTGGTCTCCTTAGAGGGATGAGTAGGTAGATTTTGCCCGAGCCGCTGTCAAAGCAACACCATCCGAGTCACTCCCAGCATCTCCCAGCGCTTCCCTTTTGGCCGCTCCTTGATTCTTCGCCAAGAGCAGGTTGAAAGGCACAGGATGGGGAGGTCCTCCCATCAAGCGCCCCAAGCGCAAGGACAGGGCGATGATTCTCTCGTGATAACGGCTCCATGGTGCTCTGTCCTGGGAAGGACAACCGAGACCTCACGCCTGCGCAGCAGATGCAGATTGGCTGAATCTAGTGCCCGGCAGGGTCTGCAAGCAAATCGATTGAAGATTTCATTGATTTAGGTTTATCCCAGCATAGGGAGACTTTGCCACGGGCTCAGGCAGCTCGACATGGAAGGTCAGACAGCGCCACAGCTGCAAGAAGGGCCTCTTCGACGTAGATTGAACCTTTGCCCGAACTCCCACTCCAAACCTGGGATGCTAGATGAAGCAAACCGCAGAGAGGGTGTCGGAGTACTGTGCAGGTGCCGGAAGAGGACTGTCTGCGCTCCCTTGCAGAACCTTTGAGTTTGTGACACGCTTCAGAAATCAAGAGCCCTGCTGATCGGCTGTGACCCACACACTTCCATGACTGTCTGCGGCTGGCTTGTCTTGTTGGCCCAGACCAGGCAGTAAGGCTTTGGAGGCAAGACCTCCAAGAACAACGACGATCGTAAGAGCAAGGCGAGTGCGGGACGACAACAGCCGCAAACATGGTCTGCTTGACAAAAGCAGTCAAGCCGAAAACTAGGTTGCAGTGTCTACATATATACATATAACATGAACAAGCCACCATAGCAATGAGAAGTACAGTGCGGAGGAGCAAGAGGGCCTGGCTGACATGATCCAGGGGCAGGTGCACGAGGAGGAGCCAAACCCCCGAAAGTGAAGGGGTGTCTCATGGTATCTCTTTCGTATAATGTGCTTGCGGGTTCAGGCACTGTTTCGTCAGCACCTGGGACTCCTGGATTCTGTGCGATGTCGGTTCATGAGCACCAGCCACTTAGAAATTTACTACGCCGAAGGACACGGAGTTCTTCGTCATGCAGAGCTTTCCGAAGTTCACCTTGATCCAGCCACCCACCCGGACTGCTCGTCAGATGGAATGTTTTTCGCACTGCTTCAAGGGCAGTCAAACCGACTTGCACACACATTGACATGTCCCCGCTCTCAGCATCCATGAGGTCCCTGGTGATCTTTCTCGGCTACGTGGTGCTGCGCAGCTGCAAGCAGAGCTCAGGATGTTTCGAGCGTTTGGCAGCCCTGGCAACCAAGGCTCTCGACCACTTCCGGGATCGGCCTCGCGGGTCTGGAGACTTTCTTTCCTGGGCAGACCGACCTGGCTTTGACCAATGTGATGGTGAAGTCAGGTGAGGCTGCCTGTCAGGCCGGTCGGAACTAGTGGGCTTAGGGCCCCAATCGCGATCGCCGATCTGGCCACCCTTCGCCACAGGACTTTCGCTGGCAGTTGTGGCGCGCGCAACTGGGCCGCAGCAGGTGCCACTTCGCGGCGGCTGCGGTGGTTTCAGTCAGGTCGCAGAAAGTTATTAGCGCCGGCTTTACGTTGCCTAAGTATCTGCAGCTGTCGCCGTCATTTTCCTCGGAGCGCGAAGCTTGTTGCCGAGGATTACATACCAGTACTCACACAGCTCCTTCTCCCACATGCTCGGCAACGCCGTCGCCCGAGAATGCCGCCTTTGATGGGACTGGTCTCAAGCATTTCTCTGAGGTTTCCAACTTTCAGGGGAGGAGCATTTAAGTTGCCGAGAAAGGTTTGTGCTTCTTGCCATTTCAAGAAGGCTTGCTGCTCGCACACTTCGCTTGTGGAGAGCAGACCTAGACATGATCCATACATTGAGAAATCGGTAGAATCGAGGCTATATACCTCTTTGTAGTGATGGAAGAGCTTCCAGTCCCCCGCGTGGCCAGTGCCGGGAGCCGCACGCTGCTCTTCACCGGCGCAGCGGGCCTGGCAAAGCTGGCGTGCAGCGTCTGGATGCTGGTCCTCTCCATGGCTGTCTCGGACATGGAGGTCTTTGCGGAGGAGGGCGTGATGCCAAACGTGACCTTGGAGTTGGGGGCATCTGGCCTGATGCGCTTCTGCGCCTGCGACGTGGGCACAGATCCACTCGGCCGCGGCGGAAAGAAGAGGGGCGCTCTAACCTCCGACGCACTCTGCTCGGCCTGCCACGAGCCAGCAGACCTTGTCCACTTCCGGCATAGCCTCAGCCGTGCCTCGCAATTGCACCGGAAGTGGGGAAGTTCACGTCTCGGAACGCTGCAACATCCCATCATAGCCTTTTGTTGTGAGGGGTAATGCCGAGTTCTGTACTTCCAGTCAGCGGGGTCTGGGGAATGGAAGTGGGAAGCAGAATGCAGAGGCATGCCGAGGTTGAGTTGTGTTGTGTGTCTCAGGATCTAGAAATGGGGGAGGGCCACATCAGGTGCTCTTGGGCTGCTTCCCTGGATCGCTATGCCCCTGTCACTTCCTGGAATGGTGCTGCGGGTGGCCCGAAGACGCGAGTGTCCCCTCAGGGTATTCCAGGTCTTGCTTTGGGCAGCCATCCCTGCAGGCATACTGAATATCGTTGTCTACGTGATCGTGCTCCTCCCGGCTGACTGGGACGTGTTCAAGTCCTTGTGCTTTATTGGCCACACCTTTGATGGGAAGTACGGTGTGGAGATCACTACTCCCGACGAGCTGCATCAGGCTTTCTGCAGCTTTAGCACTCTCGAGCAGCAGGCTCTTGCTGCCGGATGGATGCTGTTTGTCTTGGAGCTGCTGAGCGTGCTGGCTCTGGCGCAGACACTTCATCTGCCACGGAAGCTCGCATCCGAGATGCGGAAGGACGGGATGAAGACCGTCACGTCCAAGCTCTCCGCACTCGGCGGGCCTATCACAACCTTTGACAGCCGGCAGCCGGATGGTTCAGGCGGCCCTCTGGACGCGGAAAGTCTGCGGCCTCTGGCTGCTCCCTGGGCGCAAACAGACGACTTCGGACTTGGCATCTCACTGTGGGGAGCCACCGGTGGGAGGTCGTCTTACCGCGAAAGCAAGAGCTCCGACAAGGAGGAACCCCAGCAGGGCCTCTCCGCCCGTTCTTCCGACTCTCGAGGTCGGCGCCGCAGCCGGAAGCCGAGGAAGGCAAAGAAGAAGGCTTTAGGCGACCTCGAGGAGGGCGAGGTGGATTCCGAGGACCTGGAGCTGGCCCAGCTTTTTGCAACTGTGGGGAAGCGATCCCCACGCTCCAGCGCGCGAAGTCCGCGACGGGACCGGGAGGCAGCCAGCCCCCGTCGCATCGGACGTGCCAGAGAGATGTGGGATACGGCTCCAGCGGCACTGCAGTCGCTACCATCGTCGCGTTCCATTCCGCCGACCACGGATCCCTCTCTGGCCTCTTGTGGAAGCGCCGAAGAGGCCACCAGAAGCCTTTTCCATTCCATGAGGTCTTCTGCTGGCCTCCCTGCCCATGCCCAAGACGCCGACGCCCCTGACGCCCTCGAGCTTGCCAAGAGCCAGGCGGCAAGAGCTGAGGCGACCGAAGGCGACGACATCACCGACGGCGACTTTTTTGCCTATGCCCTGCGAGTCTCCGAACGCTTTGACAGGCAGGGCCCTGGGAGACCAGATCCAACTGCGCACTTGCAAGAGTCTCTTCTGGCAGAGCTTTTCCACCCGGCTTTGCCGGGCTCACACGACGTATCCCGACTCTGAATGGAGACTGGCAGCGAGCCTGTCGACCGTCAGAAGTGCAACGCGTGGAGTTGTGAAGCCTGAGACCGTCGGCACTCACCAGAAATCGTTCATGGTCTCTGTCTGGCTCAGTTTCAATCCGAGACTTGTCGTAGCAGCAGTGAGACGCTGCACGTTGCACGCGCAAAGCTGCCCCCGCGCCTTATTCATGTGCGAGAGCAGTGGGGCTTAAATAGTTGCTCTGTCCATCTCCAACCCGAAATCGGCAAGCTTTCGGCACTCCTGCCCTCTGCCGAGGTTCTCTTGCTGGTCCTGTGCGGGATCAACCTCGAGGCGTTGAGCCTCGAAGGTTTGAGCCGCTGATGGCCCGGAAGTTCTGGGATGAGACCTGCTCGCGGGTCATCAGAGAAGTGGAGTCTGAGGTATTATATGCAAAATTGCCCTTCCATGGCCAGGGCTTTCACGGCAGCCTGCGGCTGATGTGGATGTTCGAGATCGGAGTACTAGGCCCCCCTGCCGGGTGCTACACGATCTCCATTCCGCCGCCCCCACCCAAAAAGACCTAAGGCTGCTTCAATATCATTTCAGCCTTTCGGATCCGCCCATCTGGTGCCTCAGCCTCTCGGGCGTCGAATCGCGTTGATTGCGTGGGTCAGGACGTCCAGAGGTCAAAGGTATTCCGTTAATTCAGTGCAACTGTCGAGTGGATGCGAGCGGGGTTGCCAAATGCCACAGGCGGTGCTGGTGCAGTCTGCGTCTTCGATAGCCACACGCGGGCAGGGGGCTGAGCTTGCCAAGCCGGTCGTAGTGTGCCCAAAACCGAAACCCCGCCACACTGCGAGGTTGTTGGGATGTCCGGCGGCGCTTATGCCTTGTTGGGCATGCAGCTCGGGGATGTGCTCCTGAATTGGGAGCGGAAGTCAGCTCCGTACAGGCCGGGGTTGACAGAAAGATGTTATCGAACAGTCGCAGATTCTAGGAGCTGTCAGCGATTATTGCAAGCTGTAAGCTTTCCCCAACCGTACCCAGCTCTGGGCTCTGGTGAAGGGCAGTGTGCAGAATCCCTTCCTGAGCCAGAGACGCGCCTGCTTCGCGGCAGGCTGGCTTTCATCTTCCTGCTTGTGCTGGTCGAGGCGCGAGCACGTGTGAAACATCCTGATTGGGCCCCGAGGAGATAGCCAGAGTTCTGTCCTTTGAATGCATTCCTATGGGCAGCCATCCGTTGCGAGGTCATGCTCTACCTCTTCAACCCTCAAGATGAGATCAGCTACTCCGCACACATGGGAGGTGCTACCTAATTTTGAGAATTCGTGACGGAGTGGTGGTGATGGGTGCGGTGGTGGTCACCGTCATCGTCGCAGGAGTTGTCGGTCGTCCACGGCCTTCACAGAGCGCTGATGCAAAGACGTGGTGTTGTGAGAGTGATGGTCGTGGCAAGGGGCTCGTGGCAGTTCCGGAGGTAGGACAGCGATCGCTAGATATTGTGATCCGCGAATATACGAGATTCTTCAAGCAGATTTACCTGTGAACTGTTGGATCCTCACAGCGCCCTCGATTCTCCAGACTTGATCTGGGCACCCTGTAGTCGAACCATGATGTCGCATCCAAGCCCGGAACAGCTACATGAAGATTTGTCTCTGCCTTCTCGGAACAATCTGCATGCCGTGCAGGTGGGGTGGCGGGTCTTCTCTTGGTCATCGTGTTCGGCCGGAACCTGACGATAAAGACTTACGATCTTGAGGTGCAGGCGGGCTTTACCCTGAAGCCCAACAGCACCAAGTTCGGGATTGAGGGTTGGCGACTTGAGAGCGAGCCACTTCAGCCGTCATGTGATCAGGAGGACTATGCCAGATGCCAATACGCGCAGTTTCGGTACCACCTGAACCTGCTAGTACAATGAAGACTCAAAGCAACACCATAGCGACGGTAGTAGTAGTAATAGTAGCAATAGTAGCAGTAGTAGTAGTAGTAGTAGTAGTAGTAGTAGTAGTAGTAGTAGTAGTAGTAGTAGTAGTGGTAGTAGTGGTAGTAGTGGTAGTAGTGGTAGTAGTGGTAGTAGTGGTAGTAGTGGTAGTAGTGGTAGTAGTGGTAGTAGTGGTAGTCGTAGTAGTAGAAGTACAAGTAGAAGCAGAAGCAGAAGCAGCAGTAGTAGTCGTCGTCGCAGTGGTAGTGGTCGTGGTGGTGGTGGTGGTGGTGGTGGTGGTGGTGGTGGTAGTGGTAGTTGTGGTGGCAGTCTGCTGCTGCTGCTGATGCGGATGCTACTGCTGCTGGTACTCCTACCACTACCACTGCCACCCACTGCCTGCCACTGCCACTGCCACTGCCACTACCACTACCAGTACCACTGCCACTGCCACTGCCACTGCCACTGCCACTGCCACTGCCACTGCCACTGCCACTACCACTACCACTACCACTACCACTACCACTACCACCACCACCACCACCACCACCACCACCACCACCACCACCACCACCACCACCACCACCACCACCACCACCACCACCACCACCACCACCACGACCACGACCACGACCACGACCACGACCACGACCACGACCACGACCACGACCGCGACCGCGAGCGCGAGCGCGAGCGCGACCGCGACCGCGACCGCGACCACGACCACGACCACGACCACGACCACGACCACGACCACGACCACGACCACGACCACGACCACGACCACGACCACGACCACGACTGCTACTGCTGCTACTGCTGCTGCTGCTACGACTGCTACGACTGCTACTACTACTACTACTACTACTACGACTACTACGACTACTACGACTACTACGACTACTACGACTACTACGACTACTACGACTACCACTACCACTACCACTACGACTACGACTACGACTACGACTACGACTACCACTACTACGACTGTGCTGCTACTACTGCTACTACTGCTACTACTGCTACTACTGCTACTACTGCTACTACTGCTACTACTGCTACTACTGCTACTACTGCTACTACTGCTACTACTGCTACTATTGCTACTACTGCTACAACTGCAACTACTGCTACTACTGCTACTACCGCTACTACTGCTACTACTGCTACTACTACTGCTGCTGTTACGACGATCACTACTCGTACGCCCTACTACTTTATCTTGAAACTTGCGGTGTGCAGGTGGGGCTCAAGGATGCATGTCAAGCCAGGATGACCCTACATGCTGCTTTGCTACAGCCGGCAAGCCGGCATGGAAGGGAACCTTCCCGCCTCTCGCCGCTCTCGCCGTTCCCTTTTGCAACGCCACACAGCCGAGCTCTTCAGTCGCTGATCGGCAGGGAAAGGCTCCGCGCGAGCCTGGGGACCGGAGTTTTCTGTGGGGGCCTTTGCCTGGGAGCTGCGACCCAGCGCACACAGAGAGAGGGCAGAAGGCCTCGCAGGGTCAGAAGGACGGCCAGCTGGAACATGCAGTGTGGCTGCGCCTATATCCCTGACCTTCTGCCAGAAGAGTCCTTCAGGGATGTCGTGGAAGAATACCAGAGTCTTCGGGATCGTCTTGCTGACGAAGGTCCTTGCGTCGCGAAGGGACGGAGGGTCATAGCGATCTCGGAAGGGAGCGGAAGCGGAAGCGCCGCCTGGCGGCTCTTTCAGTCCTATTGGCTCCGGCTCCGAATTCAGAGAGAGGCCAGGTTGCGGTTTCTGCCCCTTCTCCCGAAGGTTTCGGATTGCCCACTGGAGTATCGGGAGTATCGAGAAGGCTCTTCTATGCTCTGGCACAAAGATACGGTTCTGACTGAGCCACCACAGCTGGAGCTGGTCTACACCTTAGAGAATACCTCTGATTCCGTTACACGCTGGGCAACGAGCCACTTGGATGTGTTGAACCGCAGGGTTCAAGAAGTCTGGACAGCTCCAAACTCTGCGTTGCTTGTACAGGCAGGATGCAATGCTCGCTTTGCTCTTCGTGCTCTGCCCCCCTAATTTCCCCACCAATCTAAATCAGACTGTTTATATTTCTGTGTTGCAGTAGGAGAACACCTGTCATTCATATGTGGTGCCCTGAAGGCGGGTGGCCCTGTGCACATGGTACGGGAGCTGAAGACTGGCCACCGCGTGATCCTGAAGGCCGTGCTATTGCCCAAGCCTATCGGCAGTGGCCCGCTGTATGCTGCACCAACAGCTCGCTGGGAGGAGAACCTTACCAGATCTAAGGCATTCAGGATGGGATCGAGGCCAACTGAGATGTCGCCGGCATAAGAAAGGCCCGACCAGCGCATGGTGGAGGAGGCTGAGCGAGCTGCATCACGAAGTTGATTCGAACCAAACGCCTCGATGCGACTTTCTCCGTACTCGCAGCGATGACAGCCCGGGTTTCGGTTTCTAGGGCTGGGACACTGGTCATGCGGCTCGCAGAAAAGCAACGTTCCTTCTGCCGAGTTCGCGAAGCATCTTCCTGACGGTTGTAGGTTATTCGGATCGCGAAGTTCCTGCTCTTCGGCCAGAGCCCAAAGCGCTGGGGCAGAGGCCTTGAGTCTCGGAGTTCAGCTCCCAACTTCGTCAGGTTTGGCAGCTTTCTGTCTCTGCTGGACTCTCGCCAACTGGCCGCCCATGAGCTTGCTAGACCAGGCAAGCCGCACCCTTGCTTTCATCTAGCCGCTAGCCCAGTATCTCCTACCCCTGCTCTAGTTTGCAGAGTTTGACACTCAGGCTCGTGAGCCGTGAATTTCTAGAGCCTCCAACAATGCACATCTCATTGAATCCCTCCGCCGTCCTTCAAGGTGCCTTGGTGCTGGGCGAGGGAGGTCAGCAATGAGACCATCTTTGGGGATGGAGAATTCCATTGTGCCTGGCCCTTGGCTGCGGGGAGTCAATCATCATATCCACCCCCTCTGGAGGTGGTGCACCGCTGTAGAGATCCAGATGCTTTTGCATGTTTCATCCGGGCTGGCATTTTGTTTTGAGTCACTCTCGAAGCCGACTTGTGATGCGACCGACCAGAGGTGCGTTGCGATGGGCCGTCCTGCATCGCACGGCCAGGGCCTCGGCCGTGCCGTGCTGCGAGGTGTGGGCCAGGAGAAAATTCACGGATGGGCCCCGGGCCCCAGCACAGGTGGTGTGCTCGAAAGCGCCTGCTTCCCAGGTGGTCGCCGCCACTGCAGAACGAGTCCTACCCAGTAAATCCAAAGTCGAGCTCTCAGCTTTGATCTACATAACACATTTGCGTATGCTTGATTCGGTTTCTCCCTGTCATGTCAGGTCTTGCAGCAGCTGGGCCGTGAGCGAGCGCTGAAGCGGCGCGGCTAAGTGTGCGCCTCGTCTTCTCCTGCGTTTCGTGTCATGCTTGGCAGTGAGAAGCTTGGTGATTACTTTGGAGTTTGGATCGGGTTGGACCCCTGGCCGCTTGGCTTCTATCTCTCAGGTTGCGCACCTCTCAGTGCCTGAAAGTTCGTCTCACCCCGTAGCTCTTTCGGAAGCAGTCATCGTCTTCCATGCTCAGCTCATACGTCGCAACTCTGATCCCAACCTTCCACCTATGCAGCGCCCTGTCCACGATCGAAATTCTGAATTCGGCTCGTTATCGTCTCACCTGGCATTGGCGGCCGAAGCCAGCCATGTGCCCTTTGCGTTAATGAGGCAAAAGGTGGCAGGATTTCCGTGAGCTTTATCAGCTTTCAGGGTGCTCAAGGTGTGGCCCCAAAAAGAGCCTTGGCACCTTGGGCCTGGAACAGGAAGCATGTCAGAATCCGATACGCGCCATCAAGCGGCTCGAAGAAGCATCCTGAACCGAGCCTTTTGGCGTTTGAGGGAAGAAGTGCAGACTTCGAGCAGCAATCCGAACTGCTACACTTGTCCGTCGACGTACTGTGAGCTGTGCTTGGAAGATCCCTGACCTGGGATAGCCATGCTTGGAATGCGCCTCATCCCCAATGGAAACTCCCAGCTAACGATGGACGAGGCATCGTTGAAGTGAGAGGTAGTGATGGCAGCCCGATCTCTTTCTATTCCAGATACTTCTCATCGTGAGGGTTTGGGGAGGGATCTTCCAGGCAATGACAGTGTCGAATTTTCGCAGCCAAGATGCTGAGTTGAGGCGGATGTTGTTCGTCAGATCCTTAAACCCAGACCCATACATGGGTTGAGACGCAATTTGGTATGTAGAGGTGTTCAGAACCACTTTTTGCATGCAGGTGGATGGCCAAAACGCCCCCGTCCTCAATTTGGAGCTCAAGCTGCAACTCCCTGTGTTGAACCTCCTGGAGGTGCCGAGGGTCTTAAGGGATCTCAACGCATCCCGTGCTGAGAGGCTCGCAGCAGTTTTGTGTCTGTGTGATTGGTCCCTGAGATGGCATGGGGCATGAATTCTGAGAGTTTCTTTAGGTTTCCCGGATGCAGCTAGTGAAGCTTGTCCAGGATTCCTGCAGCCTAGGTGTTGGGCCAGAACTTCATCCCGGCTGTGCTTGACCCGCAGACGGTTTGCGGCAACGCAGAGGACCTGCTAGGGCTCTAGTGCCCGAGTGGGCAAATCGATAGAAATATAGACAGGTAGAGTGGGTGCTTGCAGTGTCGACTTCGATCCGTACCTTTGCTCCGGAGGACCAAAGCGCGAAAGTTGTGGCTGATAAGCCCGATCAGTCCGAGGGCAGACCCGCCTCATCCGACCCAGACGACCTCTCGGACGGTCTCGACAACTCTCCGGCCGAAGCGAACCCACTCTGGAACGACGACGACAGCCAGGATGTCGCGAAGATTTGGGAAGGCGAACAGCCACAGGTACATGCAGACATGGCTGGCTGGCAGTGTCTGGGGAGCACATTTTAATTCAGGTGTTTTTGCTCTAAAAGCCATCATGTGTGAGACAGAGGCGGATTCCAAGCAGTGCGTCGGTTCGCAACTGCCTGGCTCATTCGGTCCGTCTCTCCCTCTCTCTCTCTCTCTCTTTCTTTCGTTGCAGCTCAGGCCACTTCCAAGCTCAAAGCAGGTGGTCTCGGCAGACTTGTTGAGATTGACGAAGGCGCGAGGTGCCAAGTATGACTCCGTTGACATGCCAATGGACGGCTCAACAGGCTCGAGTGGCTCCGCAGACGGAAGGCTGTGGCTAGAGGTGGTTGAACAGCTGCAGCAAATGTGCCGGAGCATCGTCTCTTCCCACGACTTTCATGTGCACTTGTTGAAGTCGCAGAACAATATGACGGCCAAGATGCGCGACTTCACACTCTCCCTTGGAGACAGAATGCAGAACCTCTCCATCAACATGAAATCACAGACGGCCGGCCTGGCACAGCGACTCGACGCTCTGGCACAAAGCGTGTCCTCATTGGAAACCAACTATGCTTGGCCTCGAGCTGGCAGTGGCCCTGTGGGAGCAGCGCCGCGGGCTGGGCCCGGGAGGCGATGAGAGCTCCGCCTTGTGAGTCGAAAGGTTTCAGCCATGTCGTCTGGGACTGGCTGCGGGAGAGAGACACCCCATTTTCGATATTTTCAAGTCGCGCCTACCAGAAGCCACGGTACATGTGTCGAGAAAAAGGGAGGTGCCTCGCGGTGTCCGATGTTAGTGTCGCGTGGGTCACTTCAATCAAAGGTGAGCCAGAGAAGAACTACGCACTCTAGTTCACCTGTTCTTTCTTCTGGAAATCGTGCTTCTTCATGTTTCGAAGTTCTGTGGCTATGCTCAGTTATGCTTTGTTGTGCAATGGTGGGCAACCCTCTCTAAGAGTCATGGTTACCCGACGCGGAGCTTTAAACTGTTGCTTGTGGAGAGTACGCACATGTGGCGTGCAAAATCATGCATGAAGATGGCCACGAGCCCCTAGACGGCCTAGAGCGGCAAACGACCGAATCGAATCGGGAATCCGACTCCAACATCTCCAATCCGGTCGGGGAAGCCCATGAAGAAGATGAGTTGCTAGAATAGAGGGATCAGCAAGCGCGATTGGCTAGCACAACATTCATGCTATTTTAAGACGTCCAGATTAACTTTGAGCTGCCTTTGTCTTTGTTAAATCGGATCATCTCTTCTCGGCAGTTTAGAATCCACACCGCGACGCGATGTGTCCATGTTCCCATGGAGAAATGTAGCAGTAGCACGGCGAGAAGCAAGCCTTGAGGTACTCCTCCTGTGACTGGAATATGACGTCGGACAAGTCCCAGCTGTTCTGTGTTAGGTGCTGCGGCCGGGGACACTGTTGGGCCAGGCAGCCAGGAGAACACGGCGCTAGATGTATCCGAACCTTGCGGTTGAAATTGGCACCGGAAGCAGCCACCTTCCTCTGCCTGCTTGAGCGTGCGCGCGTGGCGGGTATGCCATGCGCAACATGGGCTGCCTCGCTGTTCCCACTCAGCCTCTGCATCATCCAAAGCAATCGTGCGGAAAGTCCGTGCTTGCCAGTGCGGACCACAAAGCTGTCCAAATGCTTTCAAAGCGCATTGTTGCTGCGACCCGTGCCGGAAAATTGACCGCCAGTGTCTTCTCCGACACGATACGTGCTGTCAATAGATGGTGCCATGCTCCTGGGCATGACCCGGCGTGACTATGCGTGACTGGCCCCATGTGAAGGCAGGGAGGAGAAGCTTGGAGCCAAAGTCACGAAAGGACGCTAAAGACAACCACCACACAAACACTTCACAGCTACTTGCGAATATAGCGTCGTCAACTCGATACTGCCAGGATATGCTTATGCCATGTAAACACCCCGACTTTACCTGCTTGTAGCTGGTGCGCTTCGCTGGTCGTTGCTGTCCGAGGTTACGGCCTCAAGGCAGGCCAGCTGGGGCGCTGCCTTGGAGCACGCTGTAAAACAACAGGTGGGAGCGGCTGCGCTGCGTTGCCACCAGAGGCTCAACAGTTGTCTCGCCACCCCACCCCGACAGGATGATGCAGGCGTCTTCAACAAATTTAGTAGAGTCGACCCCTTCAATCACCAATCAAAAGCACCATCGGCGTGATGATGATGATGATGATAATCATCATCATCATCAACCGTGGGAGCAAAAATCCCAACCATCTCATGACCCACAACCTGGAAGGCCAAAGGCCGAGATCACTCGAGGCCAAAAAACAAGGTTTTTGCCCCAAGCCCGCCCGCGACCCGCCGGCAAGGACAACCAGCCAACAGTCCGGGGCACGCAACAGATCCGGGTACGGTTTGCGTCGTTTACGTCCTGCTGAGGCTGCTGATGGTGGCAGGAGTTGCTTGCAGCGCGCCATGCCAGAGGGGCAAACCCTTCGTTAATTGCGACTTCGATGCAGCCACTGTCGGCCGTGGGGGCCGCCGAAGCGCCGAAACCACCTCATGTCCAAGTTGACGCACCTGGCATGGAGGGTTGCCTCGACACGGATTCGTGTTGGGTTGAATGTCCTGGGGTGCCAACCCGTGAGCGATGACAGATGAAGGTCGATTTCCGCTGATACCATGCTCGGCATGTGGGCGCTGTGTGTGCAAAGTGCTTTGCTCATGCCAAACACCTGATGTGTTACGACATTGCAGTCAAGGACGATGGCATCAAACTTGCGGTGGCCTTTGGCTCGAGTGTCCGGGTGCAAAGACTTGCTGCGCGAAAACCCCGCGTCCGAGCTGCATCAACATCTGCTGCTGCTGCTGCTGTTGCTGCTGCTGCCACTGCATCGGCGATTACGACCACGACTACCAGTGACTACCATTGCGACTACGGCCACGACTGCTGCAGTACCGCCAAGGTTGGTGATGGCCCCTTCGCTCGCCTGAAAGCCGTGCCGTGCTCGCGCATCGCAGCTTCGACAAGTCACCGGGTGCAGCAGCCAGTTTGGGGCAGGTGCAAAGCCTTTTGCTGCTAGCCGCTTGTTTCAAGGCGGTGCCGGTTGATGCGTGGTGTTTGCGGCCACCTGCGGGCCTCGCCAACGTGGCAAACCGGTCGCCGGTACTTCAATGCGGCGGCCGTCGGTCGCAGGCACCACATCCGGGCTCCTGGGCCTTCATGCAGGGACCTTCGAGGCAACGGACGCGCCCTTGCCTCGCGGCAAACGTGCGCCGCTTTCCGTTCGTGCGCTGCGAACCGGGTTCAGAGTCTCTGGAGGGTTCTCAGAGCACCAGCCGGTGAAGGGTTCTTCCCCCGCGCGCGTGAATTGAAGTTGGCGGGATTGCGGAATATAAGTTGGCGGCCGGATGAGCCCTGAGTCAGTTAGATTCCTTCGCCATTTGGCACACGCTCGAGCCCGGGAAACGTCAGTGCGGGACAACGGCAAGGTCGCCTTCACGGCTCAAGGGCCGGAGCCCCGCTAAGCTATCTGTTTGCGGAGGCCCGGGATGCAGAAGCGCTCACTGTTAAGTTAAGACCGCTTGCCCGGTCAGTGACCGATTCCTTTCCCAGCAGTGTTCGGCTATTTCACTTGCCACGCGGTCAGTGTGTGTGTGTGTGTGTGTCGGTATCTGCAACTGGTTCCTTGTTTTTGGCCTTAGAATCACTCAAAATTGGCTTTGCTTGCCGGGTCTCGGCCTCGGAGGCAAAAACACAACGTCGCTGAGGGCCAAGTCGCAGCAACTCAGGGTAAGCTGCACGCCTGCGCCCTTCAGCGACGGCGATCGCAGCTGCAGTCAGCATTACCTGCCGCGCAACAAAAACATTCAATTTACAATTTAAAACCGTTTCCCCCTGGTTCGCAAGCCACGCGGTCCATCCGAGGCCTACTGTGGCTAGCTAACTTACTCACACTCACTCACATTCATGCTTGACACTCAAGCACGCATTCACTCACACTCAGTCAAACCCACCCGCTCACTCACACCCACTCGCACTCATTCACACTCATTCACTTCACTCACACTCCGTTACACATTCTCAATCATTTTCACACGCACCTACACTCACTCACAGTCACCCACACTCAGTCACACCCGCTTAGTGCGGGGTCACGCGCAGGGAACTGATGTCGAGCGAACCACGTCACTGAAATCACGGACGCTCGTTCAGCAGGAATGTTTTTTCCATCATTCGGCACAGACAATCTTGTTCTGACTAGCTCGTCTAGAGCCAGTAAGTTACAGCAATCACATTCTAATTTCAGCAATGCATACAGAACTGGCTGACTTCACATGTGGGCCACAAGACCCGAGTCGATGCACAATCATGCTGTGTTAGATACGAGTGCGTGTTGTCACACATCGCCCCCTCGACGAGGGTTCACAGTACAGGTCCTCAGGACCGTGAGTCAGCGACTCATGCACATGAGACGTGACAGACGCCCATTTGCGAACGGAACTTGTGAAAGGCTTGTCGTGCCAGTGGCTTTGTATGCAAATCAGCATCTTTGTCATCGGTGTCTACACGTTCTACAGTGCAAGCTTCCTGAATGGCATCGCCGATGAACCCCAGACAAATGCGTTGGGTCTTCTTGAGATACCTCATTTTACGGCTGTAGCCGGTTTTCATTGCAGCACGTGCAGCATCAGAATCCGTGAGGAGCGCACATGGCACTGGACTGCCCACAACGGTTTCTACCACATCCAAAATGGGCAGAAACTGTCTCGGCCTCGCCAGTCGATTTTGCTGTGGACTGCTGGCGGCGGGATGCCCAATCAATCAATGCATGTGTCGAGCCATCGGAACTGGATAAGTATACGTTCCATCCTGAGGTGCTGCGGGCTGTGTCCAATCATCCCCCATGATCGGCATCAACCAACACCTTCATCATCATGTCAGAAAGGTTGGAACGACGAAGTCTCCAGATAATGCCATAATTCAAAGTGGACTCCAAGTACTCAAACAAACGCCTCATGCGCTTTTCAGCTGCACGCGACCATTTTGAAGCATATCGGCCTAAGAAACCCGCAGCAAACATCACATCGGGGCGTGAAGACCTAGCTAAGAGAAACAACCCACCTAAATGTACAGCCGCGTCGGTCTGCTTAGAAGGCATGTGACCCTACTCGGATTCAACATCCTCATCCGTCATGGGTGTGTCAACCCTTCTCAGGGGACCTTTGATGGCGCGTGCCATTTTGTAACGCTGTAACAGCATCGCTGCATATGCGGGCTGGGCAACAGTGACGATCACATTCTGATGCGAAGCAAAGTTTAAGCGGCACGAGGTCCCTAAAAACCGATCTATGTTTTGAACGTTTCCCATGTTAACTAAACCCATGAAGCTATGCATGTGCTTGGTTGCTTGTTCGGGCGCGCCCCCAAGAAGTACATCATCTACATACACGGCCATGATGCAAGTTTTGTTTGGCGACAACCACAAACCCTTCTGATTGGCAATCGGCTGCCAGCCATGCTTCAGCAACTGTGAACGAAGATGGGCATCCCAATCCGATCCAGCACGCGGGTGCCCGTAAAGAGCACGTATCAAACGCACAACAGGTTCCCGCATGGATCGTGCACGGTGGGGGAAGAGATGCATCAAAGACTTCGGGATTTTCA